ATATTCCATTTTATTATGGTAAATACTATGTGAATGCAAATTAATAAAAGTGAAATAGTGAATAATCCTGGAAGAATGAAATTATACTGAAGAGATAAAATATGCGAACTAGGTAGTAAGTCAAAGAGAATAATGACATTAGTGTGAAAATTAGAAAGGGAAGATAATCAATAAATGCTAGCAAAGAATATTTTTAATAAAGACGAAATAAAAAGCATGTTAATGAGAAAATAACATTAGTGAAGTATATTCAAAAAATCTATGAAAAGAGATGATTGGCATGAAGAAATGGGCAGAATAGAAATAAGATGACAGAAAAAGTAAAGATGAATAGAACAAAGAGTCCTCCGATCAAAAAACTATGCAAAAGGAAAAAGTAATTTCATTTCATACACGATATATAGAACAGTAAAGAACTCATTACCCAGTGAATACTAAAAGGCAGTAAAATAAAGTTTAATTAGAGAAAAGCAAACCCGGTTTACCGTGTATATACGGAATATTTGATGCATCTGATCTCGATATAGTTCAAAGAGCTCTAGCGGAAAGTTGTTAGGTGGCTGGTTATTGCTCAATGCTATCAAATTTTTCGCAACTGCCTTGAGTGCCTGTCAAGTAAAAAATTAAAGAAAAAGAAAAAGAAATCAAATTAAAATAAAGTTAAATTTTTAAAAAAGAAAAGTGCAATGCAATTATTTTGTGTATTGAAGGCCAAAGCAAATAAAAAAATGGGATAAAATTTTCGCATAAATTTTAAAAGAACAAAGTAGTGAGGAGCACTTAAAGGGATCTAACTCGAATATAAACCAAATAAAAGTAGTTACATTCATGTATTAAATAATAAATAATACAACTGGAAGATCACCCTAATTATTAATGGCTGATGTTCCTGGATGATGTTTCGCATGAGTAGTATTTTTAAGACTATCTTGGTCTGGAATGCATATTGATTACCTTAGCTTTGTCAAAATAGTATAGTATGACTAGCCTGAATATTGGTTTATCATTTTCATACAGTATACACAAAAAAAGATTCGCAAAAGAGTTCATGTTCATATGGCAAATATTGTTTAAAAAGGCATGGTATGATAAAATCACTTTGAAGTATTACAAAGCTATGACTAAATATATATTTCTAATACAAATCTTACGTACAATGAAGGGCAAAAGAGATTTTATTGAGTTAAATAAATAGAAGAAATAAAAGTGCACTCAAAAATATATGAACAGAGAGACTATATTTGCTATCATAAAGCACCATATCCCTAATCCTCTCGTCACTGATAGTCTGACTGTCCTTGCCTAATCTCATATTATTTGTCCACTCTTATGTAGCTTTGGTCACAGCCAGGTGAGGCAGAGTGAGGGAAGGCTTGCAATCTGAGTGAGAGAAACTATAGATCCAGTGTCAAAAGAATTTAAAAGCAGGAGAGAATATAATGACATAAAAATTCTGAAAATAAATACCTTATCTCAACTCATCAGGATAGTAAATAAAAACGTTGAGTATTTTTAAGATAGTTAACATATCGAAATATAAGCACTTTCTTTCCATAACGTAAGCGATGATGATAGGTTGAGAAAACCCTAGTCTGAGTTTTCTGTCTCTTGGAAATAACATTATCCAGCTTCTTAGTTCATTTCCCTCAAAATTGTAAGTCTAAAGTTAAATCGAAACAAATGTCTAAACCATAAATGTCAGATAGTTCAAATAGCCCATTCTTAACGGCTCTGAAGTTGCAAAATGCCTAAAATCTGGCTTATGGCTTTAATTAGGCGCTAACCACATCAGAAATAAGGATTTTCTCCTTATAAGGAAACTTAATCATCATAAACAAAAACCCCTTTAACATTGTAAGGGACAGAACAATGCTGATAATAAAGAAATGCCAGTTAATGGTAGGTAGGTGATGCAAAGTTACAAATTAATTATGAGTAAAATTAGAGTTTTGGCATAAAAAATGCCATGAATATATTCAACTAGGTGGGAAAAATTTATTTAGAATATAATTTAAAGCTACATTTGGCAAGCAACTAAAAATTGAGACGTGCTCGATCAATTAAGAAAAAAAACAAAATACTAAATATTAGGGAGCATTTATGATACAAATCTAATACAACATGACGTAGAAAGACAAATAAACTGTAAGATAAGACTAAAACGGATTTACTGTGGTATAGGTAGAGCTAGATGTTATCCAGAGGTCAATCTCCCTCATTGGATTAAGCTGTCCGGTCGAAATTAGGCCTCGTTTTGCAAAGCGTCCACCTCCACTCTCTAGTGTCGAGGAGTTGGCAGAAGCTTGTAGGGCGATCATCTGCACCTCATCACTTCGGCCCACCTGGTTGACATTGCAACCACTACTAACAACTGGATGACTGTCAGATTGAAGAGACTGATATAAGCCAGAGATAGTCGAAGAAGAGCAAGGGCAAGATAGAGCTGCAGAGAAAGCAGAAGAGGATGAGAAGGGAGAGGAGCATGAAGAGAAGGAAGATGAAGAAGATGAGCATGAAGACGAGGAAGAAGATGAGAAAGATGAAGAGACGGAAAGAAACGCAGTGTTAATAGCTGATGCAGAAGACGACGATGCTAGAAAGCCGCTGTTAGCTAAAACAGGAAGCAGTGGGTAAGCCATCGGGTTCCCTGGGGGTGAGATACAGCAATAGTTACTGCTGGCATTATAGCAGGTGCAAAAGAATTCACAGCATGTGCCTGGCCGACTTGGCGCGACATTGAGTCCAGTGCCACATGCCACAATACCACCACTACAGGCACCCGCAGGTGGGACAACATTATTAGTAGTGTGATTGTAAGTAGGTCCAGATGAACAGCCAAAAAAGTTGATGGCACTAGAGAAACTGCCCGTGTCGGGAGAAACCAAAGTCAGAATTGGACATAGTCCACGAAGGCAAATGATGTTGCAGAGCACAGCAGTAGAATCTTTGGCCTCGCGAATAGGCATAGCACGCTATCGAAGCAAAAGTAAAGAGCATTTATATGTCAGTAGATGAAGCATCCTGACCATGTAATTACACAAATGCGCGTAAAAGATGAATTGTATTTAGACTTATTATAAGAAAAACCATAGAAAAAATACCAAGAAATTTATTTTCGAACTTAATTAGAATATATATGAAAATATGTCTATTTATTCATTTGTCTTATTTCGGTAACCACATATCCCCAGTCAGACACAGATGATAGCAAGGGTTTAAGGTCTGAAGTATGTAAAAACACTTAGCAATATAAGGTGATTTGATCATCAAAAAAAATTGACCAAACCAGTCAGTGGTAGAAGGCCTAATGATAATGAACGTGATAATGAAGAAATATAAGAGAACAAAAAAATAAATGATTATCATATTTCTATCGCAGATGTGTAGATAAATCTAATTCAAATAAAGTGCAGATCGTGCTGCATTCTTTATCCCTTGAATAGTCCCATATCTTTTTATTACGAACGGATGCAAAACTCACCGTAAATGAATAGAGCAAAATGATGTCAATTAGACTGAAATAACAAGGAAAACTTAAAATACAATTGCATGATTAAAGCATTCAATTCATATGCAGCCAAGCTATTAAAAACTCATGACTACAAATAACAAATGGATATTAGTGACAATGGTATTATATACTCTCTTTTCCTCTTTCCCCTGCCTTCCTCCTTTTCCTCTCTTCTCCTATCGACCTTCATCTCCACCAATTTCAGCTTATCGTCTCTTCTCGCAACCCTTTGCCAACTTTCATTATAACATGATTCTGATCCATTCTAAAAATATATTTACAGGTCTTATGCGCGAGCCTACACCAAATCAGTAGAGTAGTACCCAGAAATATATCTACCTGAATTTCGGAATATATCCACCGCATCTGTAGAGGTAGCTCCCTAGCGAAGCGAAGAAGATCGTCAAGTAAAGTAATGGTCAAATAACAATGCCAATTAGAAATGAGATTGCTACCAAGGCTTCCGCACGTAGGAGTAGGTGTTGGTGTCGGAGTGGGAGTCGGTGTCGGCGTTGGTGTAGGAGTGTGCTTTGGAGTAAGGCTGGAAGTGGAGCCAAATAAAGGAAGTGACACTGAGGGTTGATCAGAAGCGTTGGGTGTCAGCACCTCGTGCGGCTTGATAGGAAATTCTTGAAATCAGATGAGGAAAAGAGCGAAAAGGGAAGATGCGGGAGGAAGTATTATTGATAAAGGATATAGACAATGGAAATCTAGAAATAAATGATGTAAATATAGTAAATAAACATAAATTACTTACTATAGCAAAATACCGTACAATCAAAAGTACTAACGTCTTTTTAAGGTACTGAATTTTAACTTCAAACTAACAGAATGTAATCACTAACGTATCTTGACTAATATTCATAAGGCTATGATTGGCTACCCAATTCCAATATTTGCCAAGGATGGAGGACAAAGCAAATCACTTATTTTTAATAATGAATATTAATGGAAATCAGACTAAGGAAAAGCAATATCACTGTCTGAGTGCGATCATCATGCCTCCGGGATATTTTGATGTATACATTTCAACGGTCTTAAGTGAAAAAGTATAGTTATGAGGCACATAAACATGTCTAAATAGATAAGATATGCTGTAGATCATATCGATTTGTAGAAACACAAATAAATATTAAGGATCTTAAATATTTATAATTGTCATAGGGTAAAGGCAGCAAAATATCGTTGAGTAGATTGGAGCAGAGCAATATAGGACCCAATGTGCGAAATATTGTAACGTACCGTGTCGTTTTGGATTCCTAATATACGATAAATGAGGTAAGCTGAATATCTTGATTAGCAAGTACTGACATATTTAAAGATATATAATACCTAAGGCAAGAGTTTATGGTAAAAATAATACTTGGAAGTCTCGTGCGAAGTAGGCAATTGTAAAGAACATACAAACTGATCGACGGAATAGTATGAAACAAGGATAGGAACCCATTGGATTTAAGAAAAAAACAAATCAAAGACAAACAAGCAAGCAAATCACGAAAATGAAATTACTTAAATAAACAGCTAAAAAGATTAGAAGATAAAATCTTTTCATAATAAAACGACAACAACCTAAGTTAGTCTTGCCAGAAGCAAGAATTTGTATATTTCCAGAGCTGAGCAATTCGTCATCCATAGACGAACAATTTGGGACAAATGCCCTCGCGGAATTCGCTCCAGTTAAGCTAGAGTTCAAGATGGCAGATCGCAGAAACTGTTGCTGTAGCGGCTGGTTTGGTCGGAAAGATGTTGCTTCGGTCGCACCCGGTTGCTGCGTGGCGATGGATTGATCATATTCTGTTTGATTTCCTATAGCTCCTGTAGAAGTAGAGGCTCCGCAAGGCCACCAAGAATGGCCAGTTGCCTGGACGCTAGATGAAGACAGAGAAAGCAATGGCGGTAGTGGTGACGGAGAAGATGTCTGGTGAGTGGATGTCCTGGGACTATTACACGATTGCTGAGCATCAGAACTGACTTCAAGTGTTGGACTTACAAGCAGTGGAAGAGACGATTGTGTAAAAGTGGAATAACTTGACTGTGAGGAAGGTGTTAGGGCACACTGGGACGGAAATGTTGAGGGCGGTGGTGGGGGGGACGGTGAGTTAGAAAAAGATGTAGTGGTTGGGGAGGAGGAAGGAGGGGAGGAAGATGGGGAAATTGAAGGGGAAATGGGACAATGGCTGATGACTTGTTCCGCGGAATGTCGTTGCTCCGACTGAAGAAGTGCTTTTAATTTCTGTTGAGGCTGTGCATGTGGGCGCTGGTGCTGCTGAGAATAATGTCGATGTCTGTGGGGCTGGTGATGACGATGGTTATAGGTAATTTGAGAGTGATTGTAATGGTTTTGATGATGAAATAGTGAATGTTGTGGATGTCTAGATGGAGTAGATCCTGTCAGACAAATTGAGCTATTGCTTGTCGTCGATATAGTTGCTGGAACAACATACGAGTCTGTTTGTGACTGAGTTACTAATTGTTGGAACCGGGGAGATGTAAACGGGACGACTGCTGATACAGATGGAGTCGCGGCTGAGGTGGGTCTGCGTCGGCTAGCCGACAAGAAGGCTTGGCAGGCTGGCGTATAAGGGCCAGCAAGCGCAGCCTCACGAAGACGAGTGAAACAACCGACGAGCCAACTAGCCGAGACTGAGTTGAAGTAGACATCTAGGATACGTAGCCCCAGTGAGTTTCCACGGAAGGAGGCTCCTGAAATAAATGAGTGATTCTATTAGTCTGTACTGAACTAAATATATTGAATGTCAAATGTCGTGAAATGTGCATTAGTGGGTAGTAAAATATAGATATAAGACAGAAGGAAAAATGGTCAATAAAATTCTAAGAGAAAATAAAGGAAATTTCATGTCATTTTTTTAACTGTGCAAAAAGTAATAAGTGAATGGGAAGCAATCAACTATTTGCAGACAACAAAATCTGACACTGTATTTCATAGTTAAGGAAAAATTGAAATAGCCTTATTTTCTAACAAATTTCTAAAAAAAAATCACTTATTCTAAAGCATTTTGAAATAATTTTTATGCATTTTAAGGTGAGAGAGAATAATAAAGGAAATTGATTGCTAAACTACGGCTCATAGCCAGCAAGTACTCAGTAGAGAATTTGAATTTAGTCTGTAAAAAGCTGAAATTTTAACGTTTAGCGAGCCGGAAGCGAATGAAGGCTATACTTCTTGTGTAAAGAAGCATGATTATTCTGCGAAAAAGCAATTGTGTTTGACAATAAGCATAAAATTAATCTCAAGAATGTATCTTGCTACAATCCTATATACTCATAAATAATAATTGCGTGATTTAGAATTGATATATTCAATAAGTTATTAGGTAAATGAATGTGTGAAGAAAGCATTAAAATCAAGTGATCCACTCTGTTAAGGACTCCAATATATTAATTGACTTATGGGCATCGTAATTATAAGGACTATATAGTACACAATAATAACTCACAATAAAACTAAAGATAATTCCAGAAAGCATCGTTTTACTAACTCAAAGTTGGGTTTTAAGTAGAATGGGCCAGAGCCAACAGTCATTCTTCGTATAGGTTTCAGAGGATATTCGAAGGTATGAAGATCAAGATGGTGTGGCCTTTTATATGGACGCAGTCTCCTATCGTTGTATAGAAATTGTTTGACCATGTTTTCGCAACTTGGTCATATTGGCAGGTAGAGCTAGAGTAATGCGTCTAGTCCGGAGCCCATAGTATGCATGATACTTACCTGAGTCAAGCCGTGGACGTATTATATTCCCAGACCTTTCGTCGGCATCGTCAGTGAGCTGTGCCATTCTTAGCACCAGACCATAATTCGTCAGAGATACATGAAGCCGATCCTTTGAACAATTGTCTGCTAAACAATGTCGGTATGTCTCCTTCTAATCTGGGCTATTCTCCAATCCTATATAATCGTATCACCTCTTCAGTATCCCAATTTATTAATTGCTTATTTAAATGTGGTATGATGTGTCCTTTTAAGCGGATTTCATGGTAGTGCTCCACACTCCAGACTGAGATTCTCATCCACTCACCCCGCAATCCTCTTCCCAAAGGTCTTGTCAGAGTCTCCCGCTTGCCCCATAGGATCCGCCTCCTATCTTCCTGGTTCAGATATTTTATTCGACCGCTGCCACCCAATCTGGACTACTCGAAGCCCTAATTGCCCCCCTGTCTCAAACCTTTAAATCAAGCATACTCACGCCTCACTGAGTAGGCCGCTAAAAATCAGGATTCTCAAGGTTGATGGGATAGTGACTTGAGACTAGAGCCAGAATAATTCTCATCATCAAGACTTTGCATCACGGAAAACGTCTGCTGTCATCCAACTAACTCGAGTCTGCCGCATCTATCGTACTTCTAGCCATAGTGACAATTCTATCACTTCTTATGTCCTAGTCTCTTGTGTGCCAACTCATAAATGTTGTAGTTATACTGGTTTTCATTAGGTTCAATGTAGAACCACAACATTTGTAGGTTGACACACGAGACTAGGGAATAGAAAGTCATAGACTTGGTATTAGGGATAGAAATAGGATAGATACGGTGAGACTTAATAGAGCTAGTTGACTAATTCATGGACCACATCTATGATGCCTTTAATATAAAAACATCAAAATTTGCCTGGATTAGCTTGGTCTTGCGTTATCTTATTATCCCATAGCTAAGCAATTTGTTGTCATGCCACTTATATATCGAAACCCGGAAACTCTATGACTTTTGATCAGTCATACTCTGAACTTTTAGAAAATCATATGGAGTGAGAACCTTGTCTAGAACGATCCCTAATCTAGACTTAATATCTATAAATTTAATAGCTTACTCGAAAGTACGAAGACTAAGATGGTGCGGCCTTTTATGTGGTCGCAGTCTCCTTTCGTTGTATAGAGGTTGTTTGACCATGTTTTTGCAACATGGTCATATTGGTAGGTAGACTTAGAGGAACGCACCTTGTCCGGAGTCCATTGTCTGCATGATCATTTCCAAATTTGAACCGTAGACGTAGTACATTCGCAAAATTTTTGCCGGCATCGTAGTCGGCATCGTCAGTAAGTATCGCCATTCTTAGCACTACACGACAACTCGTCAAAGAGACAAGTGAAGCCGATCCTTTAACCAAACGTGTGCTAAACAATTGTGGGATCTCCCTTTATGCCCTGGGTTATTCACGTTTCCGGTAGCAACCTATTGTCTTCACTATTACAATTTTACCGTGTTTATTTATATATAGTGTGGTGTGCTCCTTTAAATGACATGAAAGCTTCACACCCCAATTGTCGTTCTCACCCCCCGTTTCATCCTTGTGCAGAGAATGTTAATCAGAGTCTGCTTTATTATTAGGCAGTCCTCTTTCCTAGTCGTATCCCAGCCTCTCTCTTGCTCCGTAAAATACGTCTGCTCTACCCCTTGTTCACCTATTTTACTCGACTCCTGCCACCACATTTGTCCTACTCAAGGCGTTATTCACTCTCCCCTGCGTCTGGGTGACTAATTCGAGGCGTAAGCCTCTGAGTGTCATGGTAACCCCTTTTTTACATGTACCACGTCTCTGGTACAACATACCTAACGTCAACCAACTAGCTCCGGTCCCCGCTGTCTCTATCCTGTTTCTATCTCTAATACCAAGCCTATGATTTGCCATGCCCTAGTCTCTTGTGTGCCAACCCACAAATGTTGTGGTACAGCCTGTTTTGATTTGGTTCAATGTTGAACCACAACATTTGTGGGTTG